CTGTTGTTTCCACTTAAATTGAGCATTGTAGGGAATGTTTGTCGACAAGAGGAAATTTACATTTTAATTTTTATTTTGAGCATTTCTAATATTTTAGAAGATCTCTAATTTAAATGGAAAATAATATTGGGGAAATATTTTATTAAAGAAATACCAAAATTGGAGGATAATTTTGGTGTTAATTTTTGAAATAGTTATTAATTAAAAAAGTATAGAAAGGAATTGAAAAGCTTGATTACCCCACAGCCGGTATCAATGGCGGTTCTGATGGACCCATCTTTGAGACTGATCAGCTTCCCAATATTATCGATGTACGCATCAGCTCCATTTGGGAACATAGTCCCGCCGCCGGGAAACCTAAACGTCTCACCTTCATATCTAATCCAATTCTGCACAGCCTTCTCCACCGTCAGATCCTTATGAGGCACATTCACGTACCACGCCAAATCCCTACTCACCGGCCACGAAAACGGATTCCGGTACCCTGGCGGCGGAGGAATACGGCACTTCAAAACCTCCTCCTTTTCGGGGCAGTGTCGCTCTCTATAAATGAGGCGGTCTCTGTCGAATTTCAGAGACCTTTGGGTGTCTTCGCAGGGCGTGTACTCGCTGTACTCCACCCCGCATGCCGGAAAGAAGAGGGGTTTGGTGGGTGTAGTGGGGACGGTGATGTTTTGGGGGGTGGTGCGGAGGAGGGCGGTGGGGGTGGAGGCTTGGTGGCGGAGGCCGAGTAAGTAGGAGAAAATGCAGAGGAAGAGGAGTAGAGCGATGACGTAGATTCTTCTCCTTGGGGAGATGGGCTTTGAGAAAAGCTTGGGGGCCATTGGAATTGTTGATTTTGGGGGTCTAGTTGGGCATGGCGTTGTTTTGAGGATGGAGAAATGGAATTATGGAAAGCTCATTTATACAAGGCAAGGGATTACAGGGAGATGCTTTTTTCCGTGTGCCCAACATTTGGAAGGTCAGTGCCGGTGGAACGGCGAGGTCAAATATGGTATATTAATTAATTTTTCTAAATTACAAATACTGTTTTTCAACTTTTTCTCTTTTTTTTTCTTTTTTTAATTACATTTTTTTTTTAATTTTATTAATTGAATCAGAAATTATGACCCGAATATTAAGATATTAAGATAATGGTTTTGAAATATTTATGGATATGATTTTCTTTTTTTCATCAATAATAAAAATTATTATTAAAAACATTTATCTATGAGTTAGTTTTTGAAAATGCAATCAATAAAATAAAATAATTTAAATAAATAGAATTATTAATTTAAATATTTGAAAATGTAATAAATAAAATAAAATAATTTATCTAATAGAAAGATAAATAATTCAATAAATTCTATAGAATTCTAATCTCACTTTCGAAAACTATTTTTTAAAAATTGTTCTATAAAATCACTCGATTTTTTTTTTTCTGGAAGATGAATGAGGTTGGTGACGAGATTATATATATTTAAACTAAACGTTAGATTATATTATAAAAAAATATGTTTAAAATATTAAAATTTAAAAATTAAAAAATTAGGTTAATAGAATATATTATTGAGATTTTTTTTAGAAAGAATTATTTGGGAGGGAAAGAAATAGACGGTGGGGATAGAAAAGGAAGGTTTCTTGATCCAGCCTTGTATACATCTGTAACTGTAGGTCTACGGTTTTGGGGTGTATTTAGAATTTCAAGAAATTTTAGGGGGAACGGGTGATAATACAAAAGTTGAGGGAGTAGCCTGATATTTTAAAGAACTGAGCCGCTATTTTTATTATATATTCATACCGCGTTCGAGTTGAGGCGCGCCGTGGTCGTTTACTTCTAAAGTTCTGTGACTGAGGGTTTTAGGGAGTAACCACAGAGCGCGGCAACAGTTTCTCCATCGAACATCAATGGCGGACGATGATTACAATGACCTCGACATGGGGTTCTCTCTCTTTCTATATGCTTTTATTTATTCAATATGTTCTTCTCGAATCTTTTAATGTTCCTCTGGTCAATTGTTTTCTTAGAGAATCTGTCAAAGCCTTTCGGAACTAAGTTCGTTCCTTTAAGTTCAACTCGGTTAGTACGGACTTGGAACTGAATTTGTGAAGGAAAATAGTTCGGTTAGGATGAAGTATCATTTAGCTGTTTAGAAGGAGATGCTATCACGTATTGGAACCAGACTCGGTTGTGCGAGAGATTCTGCACTGTCTGCTTTTATGTAGTTATAAGCGAGGAGTTTAAAAGAGTTACTTTGGCAAATGTTTGATTTTTCTGGCTGCCTTACAGCTCACAATACCAATGTTTAAGGTTCAATGATCTTAGATAGCTGCTTGTGACATATTCAATTAGGGTTTTTCTTTAGGTATAAATTATGGACTTCTTCTGCCTTAAAAGCACAGGGCTGCTGGACAAACGTTACTCAAAATTTCTACTTCTTTTACCTTCATAATCAGATACCAAATTAAGTTTGTAACTGCCACTCGTCATTGTAATATTCCGGAAACTACACTCTAAGCCTTGGGATGTAAATAGATGTTTACGACCTTATGCATCTTATTGTATGCTTATGTTCATAAGCATTATGCTTTAGTGAACTACGTTATGTTAGGTCAGTTTTGCTAATTGTTGGGCAATACAAGTTTCATTCATTAGTGAAAAGGAACTTTGATAACCTTCATGTTTATAATGGATTACTATGTCTAAGATTTAAACATTGTAAGTTGAAGGATTATTTTTAAAGCTTTCCTGTTAGTAGTTTATTTAATTGGATAGGCCTCTTGCTGCATATATACATTAAATCTTGTATTATCAGTTCTTCAAAGTAGGCTTTTATTCACTTTATTCCCTGTTTCTGATGCCCCTTTTTATTTGCTTGAAGAATCGGCCCTGCTTCTAGAATACAGTTAGCTCAGCAGATTGCTGTACCAGCTGCATTTTTTAAAAAAAAATATCTGTTAACTTAGACTGATAGACCGTGTTTAGTGTTTTATATCACATTTTACGTCACATTTTTTGGATTTTATATCTGTGGTTGAGGAGTGGAAATCTAAATTTTGGGGCTACACAAATGGTTTGCTATTAGAAGTAAATATAATAAGATCCCATTCTTAGCTGTAGTTTGACCACACTGGTATAGTCTTGTTTTGTGAAAGTCCTTTATATTTTCATCTAGGCTGATTGGGAGGTTCAAATATCTTTCAGCTTTTCTATTAATTTAGTGGTTTTGTTGCAGATATGACGATGAGCCACCAGAACCAGAATTGGAGGTATGAAATAATTAATTCAACTTTATTTAAAAGAAAGTAGATAACTGTTCTTTTTGAAGTTGATTAATTATAGTGGAACTGAAAATGATGTACAGGAAGGTGCTGAAGAAGAATTGGATAATAATAACAATGATGATGTTCCTGGTGAACCTGTTGAAGCAGAGGAAAAGGAAGATGAAGAACCTGTTGAACGTGTGCGTAAAACCTCAAAATTTATGACAAAATATGAACGTGCTAGAATTTTGGGTACACGTGCCCTCCAAATCAGGTTCTCTTTTTAACATTTGCTATATCCAAATTTTTTACGGGCATCAAGTTGATAATTGATATGATGGTTCTTTTTCCTATTTGGCAGCATGAATGCTCCTGTGATGGTTGAATTGGAGGGCGAGACTGATCCACTTGAGGTTAGATTTTTTCAAATGTTAAGCTAAGATCTTTGGAAAGCTCTCTTTTGGTTTGGGCATCCAGCTAGATGTATTTTTGTTGCCTCATATGTGCATGCCATGGTTAGTACGCCTACTCAAAAGAAAAGGGTTAAATTTAAATCATACAAAAATGCCCTCAAACTTTGAGGTTGGGGGTTAAATTTCAACTATTTCAAACAATAGAGTATAATTGAAACTAGCATCAAAGCTTCAGTAAGTTAGTCAAACTGATTTGACCGCTTACAGTTTGTAATTGTAATAGCTCTGCTGATATAGGGAATGTGGATTTATGCTTATCCATTTGAGTGATTCGCATGTTGTTGGTTGTTTGTGGCGTTGGTCTTTGATATCTCATCTAATCCTGTGCTTTTTAGATTGCAATGAAGGAGCTTCGTGAGCGGAAGATACCCTTCACCATCCGTCGCTACCTGCCAGATGGAAGGTTAGGGCTTTTAGATCTTATTCTTTTATCTTTTAACTTTTGATTGCCTGAAGGTGGGGGTACCGAAAATTGAAAACAAGTGTAACCAACTGATTTTGGTTTCTTATGTATAAGTTTAAAGAGACCGGCTGTATAAGTTTTGGACTAGTTTTAGCGAAAAAGAGATTTTCCTAAGGTTTTGGTTCTCGCAATTTTCCAATACGAAAATCATTCTAGTTTTCTGTAGGATAAGATAAAGAATGGTACTTGAGTGAAACTTTCTCTGTCTGTTAATTCTGCGCAGTTATGAAGACTGGGGCGTTGATGAACTGATTGTGGAGGACTCTTGGAAGAGGCAAGTTGGTGGCGCTTGACTGATCTTTAGTTAGTTGTGTGGGCGTCACCATATGCGAGATGATAGTTAGAACTACATAGCCATTAGGTCACGGTGTTCCCATTTATGCAGCTTGTGAAAACACTACTGTTTTGTTGCATAACTCTACTCTATAATATATTGGAAAGGAATCACTATTGACAAACACCTATTTATGACTATAAACCATGCCATTAACACTGGATATTCTGTAATCTTCAATTGTGCGCTTCTTAAAAATTGCTTTTCAACGTTAACATTAGTTTGTTATATGTACGTTTCCAAAGCACTAGGAAAGTACGTATAAATAATGCTCATGAAAGTAATGTAAAATAACATAAGAGAATGGTTAAATTATATAAAATATCCATCAATCTTTGATCTGATTTCAATTACACTTTAGGAAAGTATCCTTTATTTTAAAGAAAATCTCTTCAAGGGTATTTTTTGGGGCAATTTAATTTTTTTTTAGTTTCGAACGACAATACATTTCTTAACATTAACGCACCAATACTAAACAAAGTTAATGTGAGAGTAGAAAGAGAGCATCTCCACAACCAGTAGTGCCGAAGGCGGGGAGCATTCCTCAAGACATTAAAATCAAAGGTTCAATCGTATGATTCGCAACAAAGCCAGATTACGAGGTAGGGAAAGGAAGGGGCAAAAAGGATCCAACTACAACAGATTTATCATCCTGTACACATTTCTCCACCAGAATTCGGGCAAGGGAGCCGACAAGGTGGCTAAATTATGTTAGTCAAGCCTTCCAGACATAACCCAAATCATCATCAAGGTCATTGTTAAGGAACCCGTTTTCAGGGAAATCTTGGCCTATATCTTCAACCAAACTTTCTGGCAGATGAAGGTCTTCCGGAAAATCAGAAGCCTTTTGATTGAACCCACTATTACCAGCAGAGGACTCGCTATTTGAAGCAGCTTTGAAGCTATTGCTTCTACTCGGACCAGGGCAAGGGACATTGCTCCCAGGCAGATTTCCAGATGCCACAGCTGCAACTGAGGTGTTTCCCACAAAACCCGTACCCCTTCTTGTCAAACTTCTATTTGCATTTGGTCCGGTAAGGGGTGGCTGTTGCAAACCGCCACTCTTACTGTTACTTGACATCTGCAGTAGCTCCTGGATCATCTGTTGCTGTAGGGCCTGGCTGCCTTGAATCGTCTGAGGATAATTTTGTTGGACCAAGGAGCCAGCATTTGGTGGATGCTGTTGCAGCTGCTGCGATTGCTTTTGCAAGGTTTGCTGGGCGCTTGAAAAGCTACCAACAGAGTTCTGTATGGACCCAGGCATCAAGAATGCATTCCCCTGGAGTGTAGGGGATGGATTATAGTTGGAATTATTGAAAGAAGACAAGGCCTCCTGTTGATGTGGGCTGGGATTGGAGTTCATAGAGCTTTGTCTCATGAGGATATTCTGGTACGTAGTCATTGCCAAAGCAGCTTGTGCCGAACCACTCAAACCTCCTCGACCAATCATCTGATGGTTATTAATCCCATGGTTATCATGTTCAGGATGCATTGCCATCAGCTTATTTACTGTTGTGGGAAGACCTTGAATACTTGCTAACTGTTCCATCTCCTGCATCTTTTGCATCTTGAGCTTGGCTGCAGTGGCATGTCTAGGATAATTTTTCAAGCCCTCTGTAAAAACAAGAAGTTCCAACATACAATAAAAGAAAAATCACAGAACACTAAAGAAAATGAGTAATCAATTCAGAAGGGAAAATTATTGCCCACTAGAAAAGAAAAACATCACAAACAAATAGACTATACTCGAGGGTTTTAAAGCTCAAAATCTTGAAATATGTAATGGTAGAAATGTTCTTCCGTTCTGTATTAGCTTCCAGGGCTACACAAAAATGAAGTTGAAATCCCTAAACACATTTGTATAAGGTGGAAAATCAAAAGGTGAGATCATATACAACCAAACCGTAGGTGCAGAAAAAAAGAGTAAAACTGAGAGAAAAGATGCATGGAGAAAACTGGTTTTTTCAAGTTCAATTTGGATTGGGATATCAAGTAGATATTGCAAAGACATTTAATTACTCAATTACCCTCTAGCCGGACAGCTCCTGACGCTTTGTTTGCAATTAGTCCCAAGATTGTATTCATCGCTGATTATTGGTCTGAGCAGAGCATGGTTTTAGGAGACTAAATCTCAAACGTGATAGTTGAGATATGATTCAAAGTATTACGTGATTTAAAGTAGTTGAGATATAATTCAAAGTATTCAAACGACCAAGATTTTAAGAGATTGTTAGTATGATCCAGTGTATAAGCCTATAAATATTGGAACTGTGCTAACTCTTTAAGCAATTGAGTCAGAAAACAATAATAAAGCACTGCAGCTTTGATCTATTCCTATCTCTTTCACTATCCATTTCCCCAACAATACAACGGGTGGGGGGATTCAAGAACAGATAGCTCTTTGAACTTTTTATCTTTGATATAAAGCCCATTCAAATCAGGATGCTATGCAACAGAATCCTCAGGAATGTTATCATCCATCCTCAATGCGTGTTGTCATGTAGAAGGAACCTAGTATTAGTTCTATTTGGAGATCCAAATTCCAAAAAAGATGAAATTACGCATTTGGCCCTTGATAATGTGAAGGTGGAGACTATTGTTACGGTTTCTTTCAAAAGAAAACTAGCAGTCATTAAGGTGAGTGAAAAGCACAAAATCACTAGAAAAGAACAAACGAGAGGAATGAGTCTTTATGGATAGAAAGAAATGGGGAATGTTTCTGAAATAAATATAGCGTGATTGTTGTGACCTTATTTGGTTAGTCTATTCTACTTAGAGTGTACTCTCTGACGAAATCTAATTGGACTGCCTTACTTTCTGAAGGGGTCTTATCCAGAGAGGAGAGAGATAGGAGAATGATGAGTCAATATTTTGAAAGAAAATAGTTGGCACTCAAATTGTCATTTTCAGCATGGTAACAGTTCACTCTCTTAGAAGCCAAACCTAACAACGATACATCTACAAACAAACCACACTTCAGAAAATGATATTTTAAAAACCTAAAACAGTAATTCCTATTAAAAATTATGAAAAAATATATTGAGGAAATCAATACAAATTTCAATTGAGAATCACAATAGATCATCACTGAGTAGTAGAAGATGAGGATGTAGATGCATTACCAATAGGCCCAACTTTTTGATCCCGGCAGAAACCAATAAGATCTTTCATACTGTTGACAACCTCCGATATCTGATAATATTTAGAGATTATAACACAATCAACATTATGGGAGTGACATAAGAAAAAATTTCTCTAGTAATACATTTCAAGAAATGCATGAAGTTACCTGCAAACACCTCACGTATCTTTTAGGGAAACCCAAGTCATTCAGCAACTGCAACTCCAGACTCTTTGCAAGCTGACGACCAGCTGCCAGCACCCTAAGAAATCAACCATGTTAAAACACATCCAACTGCACAATGAGTTGGTCACCAACCCGGCAACTCTATGAATTGATAAATGTCAAAAAATTATTCCTAATAACGGCAATCTAGCTTCTAGACGGACATCAGCAAAAGATTGTACTATTATCCCCGAAGTTTTAGATATACTAACTACGCAGAATACAATGTTGCAAGGGGCAATCAAAACCCTGTGCACCTAAAACCACATGGGCCAACAAACCCAGCTCACTCCCCACAGTGTACAACAGAAGCAGCTTGACCAGAAATTGATGCATTCAAGAAGTTTTTGCTCCTATGTCATTCATGAATCCATCTCAAAATATCAGAGCCATTATATATTTTCCCATCAGATCTTTCTTAGGTCATAATTTTGAGCTCGTGGGAAAAAGGCTTCAAACTAAGCGGCAGTCAACCATTGTCATAAATATTACTGTCACGAGTATTACTGTTCAAAACTCACATATTGCTATTCGTCTGCAAATCTTTCTGAGAAACACCATCAGGCCCACTTTCAGCTATTGTGCTTTGGCATCTCTGGGCAACCAGTACCAGCTGATTCACCTGCAAAATAAAAGATACCTCATTGAATTACAAGTATCTTTCCTATCTGAAAGACTTCAAAAAATGAAACTGAACTCTTAACTTTTTTGGACAAGTTCTTTAAGAAAAATAAGCTAATAAAAAAGGTCAAGTAAAAAAAAGGAAGGATAAGTTACAACTTACAAGACAACACGACTAGCAAAACTTTTGATTCAGTTCCAATACTCTAAAGCTGAAAAAACTCGAGTTCAAAGTGGACTTTCAAAGGATAGAATAACACAGCTGAAAATAAGGGAACTGAGGGAGTTTCTCAACGATGTTTCCATGTGTTTTAGTTACAGAAAAATGCATATGCAGACATTATATGGTTCAAAATAATTTATAGGCAGTCTGAAATTTTTTGAACCAACCAGTGTCATGCTATGACTAACTTTAGAAAGGTTTTATTGGTTCGCAGTGCACTAAAAAGATGTTCCTCAGTTTTCATAATACTCCAGCTCCCTTTCATGCACGAAAAACTAAACATACTTCATGTGTGATAAAAGGTTTAATGAAATAGATTGCCGATGCCTATCAGCAAAAAGAAACAGCAAAAATAACCGGAAAAGGACGATCAGTCCCCTCCATGTTACTTTTACTCAAGTAGAAGTGTGATAAAGTTCAAAAACAATACCTGAGATGCAACCAACCTACGTGGAAGAAGTTCTTCATGACGCCGTGCACAAAATTCCCAAGACAAAATCTGAAGAAAATTACATTTACATTAGGCTTAGTAACAAATAAAATGGCTGAAAATGTTTGTTTGGATTAGCAATATATAAACCTTCAAGTCTTGCGTGAATATTACACGAAGCTGACCCTCACGAACAACACGAAGTTGCTCATATACACTCTCTTGAAATGCTTTTGCATATTCTAACAGCATAATTCCGGAAGATAATCTCCTTTCTTGAGGACGTTCCAGAATTAAAAACTCATCAATAACTCCACTTCCAAATTTGATCTCACCGAGTCTCGGGAGTACTTCAAATGTAGCCTCTTCAATTCAACTCATTAGCATGAGAGCAAAAAGTTAGATCAGGCAAGAGACCAGAGTGCTAAAACCAGCATCCAAGAAGTTAAAATTAATAAAGAAAAAATTATATTTCCTGTGATCATAAAAGTAAAGCATTATGGTACATAAATACCCAATATTTGGGATTTATGCAACATTTTAATCGTCAAGGAGTCTATACAAGAGAAAAAGGAATTAACAAAAGAAAAAAAAAAAAAAAAAAATACGGGCTTAGAAGAATCAGGAACTGGGGAATATATAAGAAATAGTCTTCTACTTGAGAAGCAATAAAGTATTTTCTTTTTGGAAGATACACAGACCCAAATGATTTGAACTAGTATGGAAAGTTATTCGGAAGATTCAACAAGCATTTATTCTTCATCTACAAAATTGGATAGGTTTGGTTCAACCTTCATTTCATGTGTTACAAGCTGACTCGAGTGATGAAAAACCATTTGGAGATATGGAAGTCAGAGATATGGAAGTCAACATTTGCAAAGTTAAAGCGGAGCATGGGGTTGTCATAATAGCACTTGATTGATAATTTCTTTGAAGACTTTATTTATTGTCTTAATTTCATAATTTCTTGTAGTGGGCATTTGAAGGGTAGCGGGGATTTACAAAATTTGTCAATCATGACCATAATCTCTTTTTTAGTAGGCACTTGAAGGGTAGTGGGAAGTTACTTGCCAACCATGGCCATAACTTCTTTTAGTGGCACATTTAGAGGGTTGGAGGTGTCTTGTGCGGGGGAGGCTATGAATACCCACATAATTGGTATGTAAAATTTTTGTATAAGAATGGGTAAATTACTTTGATTCAAGGGTTCTTGCTTCAACAAAAGTTTGGATCGTTAGACTGAAGATTAGGATTGCCTAATCATTATTTCTCGAGAAACTAAATATATAGCTTGCAAACCCATATAAGATACTGCATTCTTGGTGGTCAAAGAATGTAGATGGATAGACAACAGATGCAACAGATGCAGTAGGTAAAGATCACATACACTTACGTACATGCAAGGAAAAGGATATAAATAAGCTAATCGCAAGAAAATTCAAGCTATGTTTTTTTTCCTTGTTCATTCCTCTTTGTTTGTCCAACCACCCCCCCCCCCCCCCCCCCCCCCCCCCCCCCCCCCCCCCCCANCATTTGAAAATCAAAATAAAAGATTGCTTTTCTAACTCTTACCAAAGCCCCTTCCTGATTTGGAACCACAGATGTCGCACTGCCATGCATCCTGAAATCAATAAATGGAAAGCAATACAGACGTAAATTTGAGCACAAGTTAACAATAACACAGAAAAGGGAGTTGCAATGCACTAAAGCGAATAGTAATGAGCCTAATTGCATTACTGCAATATAGACAACAACCTAAACTAATAAATCTGACAGCAATACCAAAACATTTAGAATACTTGAATGTAGAATGAGTGATGTTCAAGACTTAAATGTACATCATTTATCAAAGAATTATTTACTCTTTAAATGTTGAATGTAGAAAAAGTAATAAACCATGTTACAAAAGATTGGACGATCCTATCTTTTCCTAACATTTGGCAATTACAAATGTATAGTATAAATTAAGAGCACAAGTATCACAAGCGTGTGAACTGACCATAGCTGCCTGGGGAAACACACCAAGAGCGTGGTGGCCAACATTCTCATACAATGACAAGCACCATCTTTTCTTCGCACGAGGAGAGTAATACTCTGTTACAAACTTTCTCCAGTAGGCTATACTATTATCCTATAGAAATGTCATTATTAGAAAAAAGGAGGCAAAAAAAAAAAAAAAAAAAAAAAAAAAAAAAAAAAAAAAAAAAAAAAAAAAAAAAAAAAAAAAAAAAAAAAAAAAAAAAAAAAAAAAAAAAAAAAAAAAAAAAAAAAAAAAAAAAAAAAAAAAAAAAAAAAAAAAAAAAAAAAAAAAAAAAAAAAAAGATGAAGCCTCAAAGTGTAGGAAGAGAGCCAGAAAGAAGTAGATGATATAGATGCATAATTTTCTTTTTCTAATGATATAATAAATAGAATTAGAGAAGATAACTCACAGGAGGTCTTTGTCGCAGATGATATAGATATTGCATCAGCCGACGGGCACAAACACCACCAGTATCATATGAAGGCCGATTCATGGGTGATCCTGGCAGCATTGCTTGCTGTTGTTGTTGCAATTGCTGCCTCATCTGTATCTGCTGCTGCTGCTGAAACTGAGCCCTGTACTGAGGTAGAGAATGCAAAATTTGCTGCTGTTGCCGCATTCTTTGCTGTTGAAATAAAGCTTGTAATTGTGAGTTACGGTTTTGTGACAGCATGGAATCCTGTCTCTGAAATAGCTGCTGCAAAACTTGCTGTTGCAGCATATCTTCCTGCTTTATATCTAGCCGTGGTTTCTTCTGCACCTGAGAATAGTTATTTGGATCTGGAATGAAAGATCCCTGACGTTTAGCACCCATCGGAAATGATACTTGGCCTATTTGTGATGTTGGTAAAGATGTGGCATGTGAAGCACCTTGATGTGTATGTTGCTGCACGTGTTGGATATTTTGGTCCTGGTGAGAATTTTGCTGCACTACGCAGGATCCATCAATAACCGAGGAGCCTGACACACTAATGTTATTTGAATTGAATGACATGGGCGATGCAGGCAAACGCATGTATGACTCTGTATTGATGCTTGCACTCCTTTGCAAATGTGGCCCCCCTGAAAGGGCAGAGTTTGCATCTGTAACTAATGAACTTGCACCCACACTGGGTCCTGAATTTGCCACACTATTTAAAACTGCATTGTTCATGTCTCCGGAAACTGGACCAAAATCAGAACATCCAGTTCCTGGGATTGAATTTGATGAATTTGCAAATGATTGGCCCAAGTGAGAATTAACAATAGCTGGGGACTGCCCTTCCCCTTGGTAGAAAATCCCAGAACTTGATGGAGACTGAGCTAATCCTCCAGCCAGACGAGAAGATGCCATTGAAGCCACCACCCCTTGGTGGCTAGAGTCTAGGTAGCCAGACAGACCACACCAAAATAAATATTCTCGACACACTCAATAAGATAGATAAGCTATACCCATGAGAAGGAAATCCAGAAAACCGCTCACGTATTACACATGTCAAATTTTAAAGAAGAAAATGTGGAGAATATCAAGACTCCACTTGAAAGAAGGATTAGGTAGAAAGTACTGAGCCTTTTTAACCTTGAAGTCGGGGGGGAAAATAAGAACAAAAAATTCAAGCTCTAGTAAGACCACTTGAGGCGCAGTGTTATTGGAGTTCCAACCGTAAGACGCGAGGATCTAAGAGGGAAAAAAAAGTTAGCATATGAATGCGAAATGAGGGAAGCAAAATCCAATTTTAACGAGATTTAAAGCAATTTCTAATAGAAGCCTGACAACTTACTCGAAACCAACAAAGACTAATTTCCCTTCCGACTGATAAAACCCTAAATTAGCTCCAGGAGAAAAAAACCCGGTAGAAGACCCAAGATTGAAATTAAACTCAGCGCAATATGGTTAACATCGTTCTCAAGAATTACCCAAAGCAAATTCATTCAATTTCTCATCGTTTGAGAATTAAAAACAGTGATTCAACGGAAAGCAACTCAAATCGAACATGAAAACACGTCCTCCCTCCTCTACCCAGAGATAGGAATGGTGGAACGAACCAAACTCAGTAAATTAATCAGTTACGCATCAAATTCCCCACCTAAACACAAGCCAAACATGGACATGGAGGGCTTAAATTTAAAAACAAAACCAAAAGCAGTGAGCTTTAACAGTGTGACAGAGATCAAATCATGGTATCCAATGAACTGAATGGAGAAACTAAACAAGAAAATTTGTAGAGAAGTATCACAATGAAGAGAAAGCAATTAAACGAAACCTCGAAACCTTCAAGAACTTAGTCAAAGAGAGTCTCCTTTTCTTCTTGCTTAATTTGGAAACCTGAAATTTCTAACAAAAGAGGGAAATAGAGAATCGGAGAATACTTGTGTTACGCAGCGTAGGTAGCGGGAACTGCAGCGAGGGAGTGACCGGCTGCATTGACGAACCAGTCACCTGTCACCGGCTACTCTCGGTCAGTCTCGAAATACGTGTCGTCGTGGTGATCAAGAAACGTAGACGATGCCCGATCTCACGGTGACGAACGAGGTCGGTTACTCCGTGGCGAGCTCTCATTGGTCTGTTGTGGGTCGCTTATAATGGGCTTTGCACAGCCTTCGTCGCCGTTATTCTTTTTCAAGGGAAATAATCAGGCGCATTAAAGCCTAACGATATAAAACATCCCCCGTTTGCCACCGCGTTGATGTGAGGACATTTTGTAATTTTCAGAATTTATAGGGGCCATATTGTACTTTTGTATTATATTATGTTACGTGGCTCTCATTTATTGGGCTTCCATATTATTCTATCGCCAGGTGAGCGTAGATTTTCGAGGCTTCTGGGTGTCAAATACCACGTGTAATTTAATGTATTTTTTTTTTTAAAAGGTGCCCTATAATTGATTCAATTTTTAAAAAAATTAATTGGTATTTACTACTTATACTAATAAAAACATATTTTTTATTTTTTTTTTAAGAAAGTTTTTATTTTATTTTAAATATATATATATATTGAAATAACCCATGTTAGTTTATATGGATAATTTTCAACTGAATTAAATATCTTCTTTAACAAAGAAAAAACGGTATTAAAAATTATAATTTCATATATTTTTAATTTTGGATAAATAAGATGCAATATCCCTAAAATTTAAGGTGGTTTGTGCAATTTTCTGATTGATCTAAAAAGGAATTAAGGTGGCCTACCACAAAGTTAATTGACACTAATTTTGATGTTTAGAAAGCAAAAGCAACCATCTGTCTTTTTGAAGGTTTTGAACAATAAAATAAATAATAAATAATAAATAAATATTTTGAAAGAAGGGCCAGGAATAGGATGCTCTTAACAACCTTTATGAACGCAAATTAGAAAAACAGTACAATATCTTAATCTATGTATTATTATTTGTGAGTTTGGTAAATATAATAAATTCAACAATTATTGCTGGAAATTCATTGTCTTTATTGCTTATTCTATCAATATAGCAATCATAGACTATATTGTTGTTAATTTCCTTGTATATTTTAGGAAAATTATTTATTCAAATGTACACATAACATATATTGTTTGTAATATAATCGGAAATAAAATAAATTAAAATATGTTCCATTTTGGGTTGTGATAATAAAGTAATGGCTGTGATAATACCAAAACATGTTCCATTGGTACGTGCAAAGTTACGAGAGTTATTGTTTAAAAGTGGACAATATGATACAATTAGGGGGAGTAGTGTCTCGTCGGCTAAGAAAACGCGAAAGATTTTAGCTATATTGCTAGTACTCTCAAAATGTGGGCATGGTACTGATACCTGATTTTGCAGGTATAATACAAAGAATGGGACTGGAACCCTTCTTTAAGAACCAAATAATTTAAGTTCTCCATAGTTTTTGTTATCAGGTCGAGATGCCCACTCTGTCCAATGAAAAGTGGAGATGAAGTTTCAGAGAGAGCTGCCAGGGGAGAGCCTTCGAAGCTTCATAGAAATTTCTCCAAGCCATACACCAGAGTCTGGCAGAGTAGCACAGAGAGGCAACAGCTTAACATTTGGCAATACAGGATGAAGAAGATGATTGAAGAAAATTGGGGAGGTACCTTAAGGCGCACCACCTTTCTAATTGCCAATAACAAGCCTGGCATGAGGCTTTGCACGTTTATGATATCATGTTTGAGAGTGTAAACCTGTGATGCAAGCCATGGTAAGTGTCGGAGAGGGACAACAGAAACACAAGCTAGAACTCACCTCTCCCGGGCGTGAGAAGTAGACATTGGTGCTGGAAGGAAGCCCCGGAAGGACAAGGCTATGCACTCGAACTCCATCTTCTCCAATCACTTGTCCCCTTGCCTAGCATGCAAAAGGGCACAATAAGCAAGCTAGTCTTTTTTGAAATGGGCTTCTGAGTTTGATGTCTTAGTCATCAATATGGTGAGGTTTCGTAATCTTTCTTTGAGATTAAACCATAGATATCTATTCTCATATTGAATACTCATACATAAAATTAAATGAGGCAGAGAGTACTCAGAAGGATTCAGTTTACCGGCACTTCTGTTGAAATATCTTCTCTGTTGTAGATTTGGCCCAAATTCGAGAGGTTCTTGGCTATTTGGGCTGCATCTGAAGATGGGAGATCCTGTCACCAAAAGGGTGAGTATTTAATTTAGTTGAGGGCCTGTTGGAATTAGTTGTTGATATAATTTGATTATAACCTGTGGATTCTCTCTGGATTCCACAATCTCTACATTGCTGTAATGGAAGGAAGCTGAAATTGCAGCTTGTTGGAGAAGGATAGAGCCAATGGACAGAGTTGGGGCGACAAGACAACCCTGTGACAGAACCCATTAAAGCATTCATACTGAGAAGGAAAGAGGAAAGGGGGAAGAGGAGAGGGTTGCATTAAAATCTCACCCTGTGCTCACCGTGCTAGCTTTCTCACAGAAGTTGGATAATGCAGCCACTGTGTCTACTTTTAATCTGGGAACATAAACCACACTTCTCATGCCAAATGCAGTTGCCTAATTTCAAAACAAAACAAGGAAGAAATGAAGCTTAGTTGATGCTTATATCGAAGATTGTTAGGAGCGATTGTTAGGAGCGAGTCCCTCGTTAGCTAATTTTGGATTTATAAGTAAGAAATGCATCACATTAATAATGAGGCCTTTTGGAGAAGTCAAAGGTAAAGCTACGAGAGCTAATGCTCAAAGTAGGCAATATCGTACAATTGTGAAGAGTCGTTGTTCTTAAGATATCCAACAGAAAAGGACGAAGATTCTACCTGCTTCACATTCTCATATACTTTAGAAGGTTCGGTGAAATCAACAACAACTCCTGTTTCCTTTGACTGCAAATTAGCAATAAAATAGTTATCTTTTGAGACTAAAACCAGACAAAGTGAGGGATGAAGTTGGTGTGATTGAGTATTAGTACCTGAGATATTGAACCTAAAACCATGGTGAGATCATTTAATATGGGTATTTCTAGAGGTTCTTCCATGTCGCACACCTAATTTTATCTGTGCAGATCAGCAAAACCACAGGGGAGAGAAAGAGAGATGGAGGAGAGAGCGAGAGAGAGAGAGAGAGAGACCTTTCCAATGTCCTCTCCGACAGAATGTGAATCAACAGCACCAGCAACCTCCATACCTCTTGCCTTTGTCACTGCAATAACTGCAGCTCTTCCAATTTCCTTTGCTGCTCCATTTATAATGACCTGTTTAAACAGAAGTAATGAATCTCTACTGTTGAGCAAAATAAATGAGAGCCATGGCTGGTGGATGATGGATGATGGGCGACCTTGATATTGCTCTGAGATGGTTGTACAGAGCAGAGAATTGAAGATCTGGGTCTCTTTTTCTCAGAGTTCTTATACATTGTGAAGGGGAATTGTGAACCCAGAGCCGCCATTGTTGTTGGTTTCATAGCTCTGTTTCTTCCTCTCTTTCGGAGCTGAAATGGTCTAATTCTGCAAGAGGATAAGCCCATTTTCACCTTACCCTTGTGTTCTTGTTTGATAAGGTTTTTGTGTCGACGGCGACAGCGACAGGATTACAATTTTCTTCTAATTAATTGGGTGTAAGAATTTATTTACCCAAATTAAAATATTGTAGAAAAAATTATTCGAAAATAAAAAGAAGATCCAAAGTATTTACTTTAATGACCAGGTCAAGTCATCGTAATAACACAAGTAAAACGCTATAATTGGCGGAATTATTAAAAAAAAAAAAAAAAAAAAAAA